CGGAAACCCCAGTCGACCCTCGGTTGCCTCCAATTCTTATACGCAAACCCTTGAAAAGATAACCGACCTGATAGGAATGCGAGCAGAAAACAAGAGCGCACCAGGAACGACGAGATTCAACTCCTTGGTAACATCTTCACCGGCCTCGAGGACGCACACACTGGTCGCTGGGTCCTCAGCCAATCGAGTCGCCACTGCGAGACCAGCAGTTCCGCCTCCAATCACGACGTAGTGGAAAGTCGCGGGAGCCATTGCGATGCAGATCTTCGGTATCGATTTCGCAGTCGTTCTCGGAAAGAAGTGAAGGAGAGAGGAAGAGAGCCAGTCATCGTGGTCGAAGAATCAGATCGGCAAGAGAGCCGAACGGCGGCGACGCTTACCGAACAAAACTGATAGCCCCAAGAGCAATCCAAAGCCGCTCCTCGGACTCCGAAACCTTCGAGATAGACAAGGATAGACACATCTTTGGACACATCATAAAGTTTGGGAGTTGGAAAGTCCGGGATCAAAAGTCCGGGGACGATCGCCACGGCTGATCGGCAGACCATTGGCATCAAACGCGGCCGAGGGGTGCTTGAAGTCATTTTTGTGCAACATCCCTGGGAACTTCGCAATATGCGTTCACAATCCATCTAAGGGGGCACCCACTTGTCCGCTGAGGTTAACATTTGTCAAACTACGACCATTCCAGGTAAATTCACCCTCTGGCCGCCGCGGCAGTCAGTCAGTGCTGGGATCCCGGCTGATTGCATTATTGGGATGACCAGCTTGCGCCGCCGAAATCGCAGAAACCATAAAATGCGGTCGAAATCAATGTAACACAGACAGACACTTGTGACGGTATAGTGACTGACTAGTCTGACTCGCACTCCAAAAGTGCACACATATGGTTGTTGTATCTATATAAGAAAAGACGTGGGGTGTCTCGACAAACGTCAAAGTGGAGCGAGGTGGAGCTTACGGGTTCAACCGGTCAACCGGTGCCCGGTTGGTTCCGATGGTTCATTCTGGCTCCACACGTTGTCGAGATGTTGCTTTTCAACTTGGGTGCTGTTTCGGCTTCGTTCCTGGCCAGTCGTATATTGTGTAGCCGTTTAGACTTTACCCGGTGTCTGTTTTGAAGGTAAAGAATCTCAAGATCACTAAATTCTATGCGCCAGCAGAAACAAGAATGAAGGCCGAGAGAGGCTGAGTCGAACATTGAGTAAGCAAAGTTTCAATGCTCCAGACATCCGGATGAAGGCTCCGCTTCGATGTGGACAGGGAGGCTGATGAGGATAATACGACTTCGTTCGACCGAGTTATCTGAACACAATGGCACCATGAAGACTACGCCTGTAGTTTGAGAACCGTTTGATTGATGCGGAAACAAAAAATGGTACTAAACTTAAGTAGTAGAAGCTATCAGTAAGTCTACAGTTCGAATTTCAGATGGGAAACGTGGGAGAAGTCACACCATGAAGGCAGTCGGCAGAGACAATTACAGCTGGCTCTCAACAAAAGAAAGTAAGGATTTATCTGCGGCAGGGATGTGCAACCACATTGACACGATGAAGGCAGTAATTAGTTGAAGTTCTAACCGTGTCACAGTATATGAGGCCGTGAGGAGCCAACCGGATGTTGGCGACGAGCGGCATCCTTCAGGTTTTTCAACCGTTTTCAAGACTTGAAATCTGATATCCTGCAACTTATTACCAATCCGTGGCAACGACACGGGTAACTGCTAGTGGTTGATATTTGTTGTCCCTCATTCAGCAAAGGACATTTTATGGGTACCTTGACTCCAGGACTCAAGGTCCAGAGGAAAGTCCCGTAAAGCCCCATGGCAAGGACGCGACAGGACGCGACGCGTTTATTGACAGGTGCTGTCTCACACGATCGATATTAAAACTCCGACGTATTTCGATCACATCAAAAGTCTGGCCGGCGCGGCCAGACCTGATCGGCGGACTTTTGATCCCGGACTTTCCAACTCCCAAACGGACACGGACACATGCCTCTGCTTTTGGATTTCTTTCTTTTTTCGCTCTCAACTAGCGGGTGGGGTAGAAAGCGGGAAAATGCTAAACTGGCTCGGAGAAATGCCCAGCCGAAGTTGAATGGTTGAACCGAAATTCACCTTGGACTCATCAGTGCGAAAAATAAATAAAAAAGACAGCGTCCACCTCAGTATTATGTATATAAATGCGGTGTATACTCTCCAACCAGAGGTATGCAAGCCTAGTGGCGGTCGTGTTCAGATAACTCTGGATTTTGAATTCCAGGGATCTACTCAACAGTTTAACCGACTTCATTCCGAGGCATTTTATTACAAATTTCGCTTTGTTGCTGAGGCGGCCAAATCTGGAGGCAACCTTCCAACTAGGAGACAATGTACCCAACGCGACATAGGGTTCCGAGGATCTGAACCGTCTGAGGTTGGATCGGATTTCATTATATCCTGCGAGAACATATTATGTGCCAACTAAGTAGTTCTCCTCAGCCCCTCCGGTTCCCGTGTGTTAGCGAAACTTCCGTGGCGCGTGAGTTGAAAACAACAGTACGTATAGGTGGCGGTTCAGGAGAAGTTGATCATTAGTCCCGTCCGTCGCCGCCGTGAGTAGGCGCGTGTGCAGCTTTACACGACAGCGCGAAAGATGTCGTCGGCCGGAATTATCTTAGCGTGGCCGATTATTGTGACCGGAGGAGCTGTATACCCGACCGCGAGCTAAATGCGAAGCCTATCAGACGCCTGAGGGCAACTCTCCAACCGTCACTCAACCACTTGGCGTGGAGCGGGATTGATTTGTCCTCGGATTTAGGCTTTAGCTGTTAAGTGTATTCCCATCAGAACATCCGAATTGGGGGCGATATCCACGAGGCGGCCGTGTATCAACGGCAGCGGGAAGGTACAGAAAGACATTGACGTTGTTTGCGTCAAAATGATTCTGATTATGTAGCTCTGCGCTGGCTTCCCAGAAAGAGTGGGGGGCCGTGATCGCATCGGAGCAAGGGGGAAGATGAATCAAAAGTTCGGTAGTCACCAGGCGGAATTCGGCTGGATGGAAAAGTGAAGGTGATAACCGGACGGAAGGACGATGCACAGGGACTGGAGGGTATATTTGACACGGAGGCGGCTTCGAAGGCTGTGGTCGTGACTGATAAATAAGGCCGCCGGGGGAGAGGAAGGGCGGACAGCGGACACGGAGTGGGCGTGTTCGGGCTCGGTCCCTTTTTGCGGGTATTTTGAATATTCAAGCCGGGCACGATGAAAGGCAATGTACATTCGTGATATCTCCGCACCCGAAGCAAGCTAGGGTCGTAGAAGTTGTGACGGCCCGGCGCACAAAGATGAATGGGGACGGTCCATGCGTCCTTCTGTCGCGGCCCAGAAGAACCTCCACAAAGCCGATCTGTCAAACACACCCGGACGGCAATCGGAGGTAGCATCGCGGGCCGCAGCGCCCGATACTGTCACGGTGAAAGGTACACTGTCGACGTATTTGGAACGGCTGGGATATTCTACTGCTATAAAGCGGCATTCACAGGAATCGGTATGCAAGCTGTCAGATGTATGAATCGAACAACGCCGAGAACGCCGAAATGATGACTAAGCGTGGTTGAAATTGCTGTTCAACCTCGGCCGGTTCAAAACCCAGAGGGGATTCAGAGAGAAATATCATTGTCGTAGGTTGGGACTCGAGACTGACATGCAGCGAGCTTTCTGCACAGCGCGGCCGTAGAAACGCCGAGGACGCTAGTGTTCTGGCACAGCATGTTCAACTTTTGGTTCATTAACCAATTATGAAGGTAACTCATCGGCTCGAATGTGCACCTTTCCGCCGTAGTATATAATTGTATCAAGGGCTCTGTTTGCACGGTCATGCTTAATATAGCTCGGACCGGACCGACTCGTGTCCCACATTGTCCGTCGAGGTCAGCCTTCAATCTCCCTGTCCATCATGTCCCCGTGGATTAATGGTAAATCACTCCCAAGCCGTGGCGAGCTGCAACGAATATTTGCGAGCGATGTGGGTTCGAATCCCAGCGGGGATTTGGTCTTGGAGAGCGCTCTTTTTTCTGATGGTAGCTCAGATTGCGTGTTAGATAGTACAATCCATCGAGCCTTGTTCCTCTCAGGACTCCACCCACTAGTACTGGTCTTCGCAAATCTTCGTAAATCATCTCACAGGCTGTCGGAGAAACTTGTCCCGAAATTACTAGCTTTTTCCCATTGTCAAGGTCTCCGTGGCTTAACGGCATAGCGCTTCCTCCCAGTAACAACATGCGTTCGAAGTTATGGACGGGGTGTGGGTTCGAACCCTACCGGAGACATGGATCCGTGTGCATGTGTTTTTCACTTACTGTAAGTCCGGGACTCGGGAGTCGGGTCGTTGTCTTCTAAGTTATTTTTCCGGCGAATCGAATGTCGAGCCCATGATAGCTGATTTGAGGTCAGAATTTATTGCAATTTTCAAAAATAATGTCCGTTCGCTTTTTTTGGAAAAAAAAAGATTTAGTTCGGGGTCCCTTGTGCGAGGGTTCAAAACCGGCAGTGGGCACCTTTTCCCGGGCTGCAGTGACATTTCTGGCTCAATAGCTCCTTTCCTTTCACCTTCGTTTCACATTGGCAATAGCCAGATATGGTTATAGGGCCTCAGTTGCTACCGTGTGGGATGAAAAAAGGTGCCCTGCGCCGGGTTTGAACCCTCGCACAACGGCCTCCCAAACTATGTAAAACTTTTTTTCTCTGAAGAAACAGAGTGGACATTATTTTTGCAAATTGCAATAATACGAGAGAGGGAGAGAGGGAGAGAGGGAGAGAGGGAGAGGGAGAGAGAGAGACCCAGAGTCGCGCGAGATATGACAATGTTTGATGCCAGTGTACACCACCCTTTGATTTTTTTGGTCAATCGAGCTCTCGGGCATCGATATCGCTGGATCGCAAGAGTATACGCGGTCGAAGTTGGAGATACATATTGTATACGTGTTCTACTTACAGTTTTGTTTAAGTGTGGAAGGTCTTTGTAGCTTAGCGGTCAAGCGCTCCTTCAAAGTACCGACTTGCAGTTCTTTAAAGGAGAGACGAGAGTTCCAGCCCCGCTAGAGACATGACGACTACATCGGTGATTTTTTGCTTCCTGTACCCCCCATGGACTCAAGCCACTATCATCTTTGGCGAATCGAACGTGTCGCTAATGACCAGCGCAGAATGTAGGTTAATTTAATTGGGATTTGATTATTCGGGAGAGAGAGAGACTCAGAGAGACGCCGAGATGCCGCCTCGTGCCTCGTGTCCTGCATGGTTGACGGTGAGGTCCGTTGATTGGCACGGCTTGTACCTCCCTGGTGTCCGGATCTGTGGTTGAATTTATTGACGGAATCGGATTCAGTCCAGGAGATCGGCGAGTTCATCATCAGAGGTGTGCGCATGTTCACTGTCCGACGGTTGACGCACCGGATTTGGGTCGCGTTTGCGTTCGTGATCATACGGTTTGGTTTTTGTTGAAATCGGGAAACAGGTGTGACTTTGACAGACCGTCTTCAACCCTTGAACCATGGGATTTGGATTTCATTGACATTGACTCCGGATTACTTAAACGGGTGGATTTATTCCCAGTTCGAACGAAAGGATGTGACGAATTATTTGGATACGGTTGAACGCGGCTTGAAGTGGAGCTCGCACCTCGCCGTTGATTTAAAGCCCCTTGTAAATGGACCGATACAGCTGTTCGCAGTTTCCTGGAATCTGGTTATTGACACCGCCCGTGGGCGCGTGTGTATGCGTGCAACTCAACAGCTTTGGTGTCCGGAATCACGTTGAACCGGCGGACCATCATTGCCTCCGGGGAGCTGTAGCCTCTGGAAGAGCCCTAAGGACTGTCAGGTAAGATTTATCGGAGGGTGATACTATCAGACAGAAGTTGTGAAGAGGCGAGGTCTACAGCTTTCCGAACCGTCACTTTATTTGGGGTGCAATGGCGTCTGGAACCAAGAATAGCCACAGGGCGGGGCAGTAAGTTGAAAATTGGAGGACCAAAGCTGTCGTCCGACCTCGAGTAGTGTGTTGTGATTGAAGGGCTCGCTATCTGTTGAAAAGTTTCTTCCGACTTTCCTCGGATCATGCCACGCATGGTTGAGGTTAGGTTCAGAAACATATCCAAGTATGTACCTTCCAGTTTGGTCCCGGTTTCTTCGCAGAAGGGAATCTCAACCAATGACAATGACCACGGCTTTTGATCAAGTCGTTCGTGGAATCTCCAGTCCAGTCGGAGGACAAGTGCGCACGTTCGTTTTGGTGGGCGTAAGTGCGTGTACAACTTGAAACAGAGCCAAAAAAAGATGTGCCGGTGGGTCCACGGATTATTGATTGTCTCCGCTGACTTGAGTTTGGCTCGAGTGAGCGTGCGCGTCGGCCAACACATACATAGACGCGCGCCAAAAGCCAGAGACACGAGGACAGAACGAGAAAGACGCAGAGCTCAGGCTGCCCGGGTGGGAAGCGGAACCGCACAGGCAAGAAGGGAAAGGAAGGATAAATCGAGTAACCAGAGCTGTTGACCTCGAGGTTACAGAGATGCATCAGTTGATGTTGAAATTCGATCAGGCAGGACTTCGAGTCAAAAATCAAGGATACTGCTAGCGAATGATTTAAAGTCGAGGGTCCTTGACCGTGACTGTAGACCCGCGCAGTTGCACCACAGCTCGGCTCGGCACCCCGCCTTCGCAAAGGAAATTCTGGATCAACTTTGAGGGTCCTTGATTGTGGGCACGCAGCAACGACAGCACAGCCTGCGGATAGTCAACATTTGCGGATCCGGAGTTGCAGATATTGCCCGTCGGATATTAATAAGCCCGAGACATAATCCAGATTCGGGCCGGAGCGGACAGCAGTTAATTCTATGGAGGTATGTGCAGTAATTTCAACACGGGATGCGCGGCGGCGGGAGCGGGAGCGGGACGACATCACTGTTAGGCCGTAGCTGTTAAGTGGTCGAACAGAACCGAAGTACCGATTTGAGAAATTGAGATGCGTTTGGGGGCCGCGATGGTGTGGGACGATCGTCAGATGGCTTACACACATGTTGAACCTGTGAATTGAGGGTTGGATGGTAGTCAAATTCAATATTGAGTGATAATGAACCTGCAAGGAAGAAAGGAGAAGGACCCGCGGTCCCGCGATGGTCGTAAAACATCCGTCTGCGGGACGATATCCACGAGGCGCCTTAGTGTGTGTCAATGTGTGATATCAGAGTCAACGGCATCGACATCCAGGAGTTGAAGGAGTGGAAGATCTGGTTTAGAAGAACCAGTTTCGAATTGCAGACAAGGTCCAGCGCGAGGTATTGGCGGGTGTTGAAGCACTGATATTGAGGTAAGGCTCCAACCATTTCCGTGTATAAACAGTTTTAAACGGTTTTAACCGTTTTCGTTTCCATTTAATTTGCCCAGGGCCTCAAACGGTTTATAAACCGTTTTACACGGTTCAAACGGTTACCAACGGCACCACCCCCGAATGGGCGGATTTGTCCGGTTTTCTGTGGGGTTTGGGGCCACGTTGGCCTTCCATATCACTGGTGCTACACACAGTGTCACGGTGAAGGTTCAAATATGTGTTCGAGAACCTTTTGACCGATACCAAATGTCCTGCCGCCCGGTTGGACATTGAAAGGCCAAGTTGAACCCAATTATGTGAGTGAAGTCTTAACCGCACGCCGAACTTATTGGATCACAACAGGCAACTTGAAACAAGCTCTGATCATCTCCAAGATGGCTGGTGAAGTTCTGGCTGGGTCACTATTCCGGGCGTCGGTAATGAGTTCAACCCGTTGTCACTGTCCACATATGTCTGCCATGATTTTTGGTGTCATGGCTCCCGACCCGTAAAGACTCACTACCATGACAGTGTGCGATCGATTTGCCTTTTCCTGAGTAGTACTCGGGAAAAGACACTTGGCGTGTGGCAGCGGTGAGTATTTCACCTTGTTCGCCCCTTGGTTGGTGATCTCTGCAAAAAATACCGTTTTAAACTGTTTTAAACGGTTTAAAACGGTTTATAAACCGTTTCCGTTTAGTTTGAGCAGATCCGTACACGAAAACTAAATGGTTGGAGCCTTATATTGAGGGGAACCCAGAGGAGGAGAGAGGAGGAGGAGGAGGAGGGAGAATGCAGTCCCGCAGCAGTTGGAATTAAAAACATCCGCATACTCAATCTGAGATTCTTCAAAGAATCTGTCGTCGCCTACCCTGCCAGTGCGTACTTGACAACTTGAAGCGCTGCCAATGCTTGAATCGGAAATCCATTCCCAAGTTCCCCTGGATATCCGACTCGATGCCGTCCACCGTGCCGTGGACTCTGATGTCAGTCATGCGCGCCTCGTGGATATCAACCCGAGTCATCGCGTCTGTGTGCGCTTGAAGGAAAGAGGGGTGCCCAAAGGAATGCAGAAGGAAATTGGTGATAAGTACAATGAACTGGCGCAGATATGACATTGAGAATAGAACAGATGGATGGAATGACCTTATAATTAAGGAGACTTTTGATTGTGCGTACATTTTTGCGCAGTTGGGATGGTCGCGTCACGGAGACTCTGAATCAAAATATCGAACGCGGGCCTGTTGAGTCGGAAGTCGGAAGTGGAGGAGGAGGCAGCGCGTTCGGATTCGGAGTTGCAATTGGATCTGGGCTTGCATTTGGGAAAACGCCCCAGATATGCCAGTGCCCACCTGTAATTGGGCAAGATCAGTGTTAGGTGTGGTTGGAAATCATCCGGATGCGGGGCGGCTTACTCTTTATTCTCGCTGATATATATCAGAGCCAACGGCAGGGTGGACGGTATCGAAAGAGAAAGAATGGAAGCATTAGCATTAACAGCACTTCAAGTTGGGGAAGAGGTTGCAATTGTTGGTACGCGGGGTAGGCTGGCCAACTTGGAGGCCAGAATCTAATCTTGGGAGATTCTCCGTTGTGTGGGGGAAAGACGAAATGGAGCCTTGATATGTGAGAGGAGATGAGATGAGATAGTTTGATCTTGGTTTGAGATCGAAGTGAAGTGAGATGAACATGCGGCCGAACGTCCAGGAGATTCAGATTCATTTTTGCGCATTTTAGCAGTGGGATAGTATACGTAGTCGCGGGACGATATGCATTGAGGTTGTACCACTCCGATTTGAAATTTCATTCCGTGCATTGGCGAATGGAAGGACGGAAGGACGGAAGCAAGGGGAGAGTTCTGTTTCTAGTCCACGTATTGCTTTCCCTGGATTCGGATTCGGATTCGGATTCGGATTTTAGGCAAACCGTAACGCAGGAAACGAATTATTAGATTAAGGCAAACGGACCAGTATTTAGGCGAAAACATCAGTGTCTCCGAATTTAGGCAAACGCGATATCGATTCACAGATGTACCCGTGGGTACCTGCATTTGGGAATGCGGGATGGTATCGCTGTTGAGTGCGGTCCCGGTCCCGCAACTTGAACGGGTTGGAAAACATCCGGATGCGGGACGATATCCACGAGGCGGCCGTTCGCTCTGATAAACAAGATACGAAGACAGCGCTTGGTACGCGGGGTAGGCGAATTCTGATGATATGAGAGGAGGGGATCTGAGATTCGGAGACCTGGGAGACATTCAGAGCAGCACAAGTCAGATTAGGTTTGCGATGGAGATGAACGGGAACAAGTGGAGTGAAGTGAAGTGACATAGTAGATCGAAGTAGATCGAAGTGAAGTGAAGTCAGATGAACGTGAATAGGCCGAACGCACGGATGGATGCGTCTGTTTCCCAGGTGAACGGATGGAAGACGGAGGCGTATCCTTGACCCGGACGGGCGACAGGTTCGGAGGTTGTGACCTTTGGAGATGAATCCGATTATGCCAGCTGGAGACGAATAGATGAATAGATGAGTAAGTAAGACCGGGACGGCGGACGGAGGACGGAGGTGTACATGTCGCGGGTGTCGTGAGGCAAGGCGCCTAAGCCTCAGTCCGTGTCCGTGTCTGGGGAATGTGGGAGGCGCGCGGCAACGAAATTAGGAACGTTCGAGCGATCTCCGCAAGTACTAACCCGCACCCGGGACTTGTATAGGCATACACACGTAGACACACGTAG